CCAATCTACCATGAACAATTACAAACTTTTTTTTTATTACTATTTATTAGAGCAGAAGTTACAAACATGGGCAAGATGCTGTATAATGAAGGCAATATCATCACGTTAATTTAGTATATTGACATGTAATAAATAAAGCATACTAAAATGAAAGCTGAAATAATCAGTGTATTCAACTCAGAACTGGTCCATCTATATCTTCCTAAGGGTCTTTGTCCAAAAGCAATTGTGGCTGTCCTCTAAACATAGCCAGCTGAATAAATATGGATTTAAACTCAAGCTCCTAGACTGCATTTTCACATTTTTACCTCCATGCAGCAGAAATTTAACAACAATTTGACATTTCCTCTGGAAATTATTTGTAAGCTAACTCATACTAAATAGCTGTCTCATTGCATGTGCCTTCAAGATGGCACATTTTTGAGATCTTGTGAACAAATTTTCAACCTGCAAATATGCGTGGGCTGTCAACATGCTGACAAGCATTCCCCTTTCACTGTCCAACATTCAGAGCTTTGCTTAGACTGTCCTCATTCAGATTCCCAGAAGCACTAAGTCCAGCACAAGTTTAGTGAAGTCAACCCTCCAAAGACCTGCAGGTTTTTGGAAGCAACTCTAGAACTGTAAATAGAACACAAATATTCTTCCAGTGTGGGCTTTACAGGAGATTTTTTTGCTTGTTTTTAGTATCTGGAAATCCATTATTCCCCAACAAGTGAGTATAAACGTCCCCCACGTTTTACAGTTCCACTATTCTAACAATCTGATTGAGGAGGCACTTTGTATGCTTGCTCAAGGATTTACGTATCTGTGTTTTTTTCCAATGACTCATTACTACTGAAAACTGTAACTCTGATATTTACATTGTTCCCTGGATTTAATCTGGGCACAACTCCAAGGTATCAAACTGTTACTTTTCAAATTCTTAGCAACTGGTCCACGAAAGTTTGGCTGGCCCTGGGGAACTTTTTGGTCCTTTGTTGTCCAGAAGGCAGATGAAGATTCTGATATTGTGGCTCACTGCACCAGTCAAGTTATTCTACTCCTCCATACAGAAGGAATTATCTAAGCAAAAAAAGCCCCAATATTTCAGATAACTTTTAACGACTAAAGGACTTACTTCCTCCCACTTCTATGAGTAAGCTTAAGGGCTATTACAGAGTAGCTGTTCAGCATCCTCTTCGGGGTTCTGCTCCACAGAAAGTATCTGAGCAGGGGTTGGTCTGAATTATCTCAAGAGGAAATAGAGGGCATCCTCTGACATCAGCGTCCATCTCTCTTCTCAACATTAATTTCCTCTCATCTCCTGTAAATAAGTATATGTAAAAGTTATCTGAAATGAGTTTGTTAGGAGGAAAAAAAAAAGGGGGGGGCAGGGGGGAACGTAAGCAAGGTAGCTGCCACTGAATTGAAAGCATAGTAAATTGAGACATGGCTGTAAGGAACAATATCCAGAAACATAGCAATCCTGTATGGAGATCAGATGACTGCCTATACAAAAATTCACGCGTTTCAGACAGTACTTCCCACCCAGAAGTACCACATATTGAGTTGCCAACTACTAATCTTTTCCAAAGTTGCTTAATTCCCAATACATTAACTCAGCATATTACTTTGACATATTATTTTAACTCAGGCACGTATTTTGCCCTTTTAAAACACGCCACGTTGTCAGCAAGCATGTTACTAACAGAATAACCGTAATGCCTATGAGAGGGGCTTTGCTATCCAACAGAGCAGAAAAATACGTTTCAACTGTAGCTGCTCAGAGCATTTCTCCCTAAACTGTCGCAACCTTTGACTGTAGAGCAGTCACACTCTTTTTACACCGTGTTTACATGTTTTGAAACTTTTTAGAACGCTTACCACATATCACTGTAAGAGCAACTGTGGCAACTACTCTCACCTGCCAGAAACCTAGGCCTGTCAAACGCAGTAGCCTTGGCTTTGATATCCCTCCTTCTCACCTGCCCTCTGGAGGGTCCCCTGAAGTGGTGAGGCATCACTAGGGGTAACATCTTCTGGTGCTGCTGTCACCGGGTGAAGTGTTTTGAATTTCATTTTGCTGTGCAACATTTTGTTACATTTTCTTTGAATCTTTCTGAGTGACTCCAGCTGCATGCAACTGTCTGTCTCTGAAAAGCCATATTCATCAGATAAAAGATTAGAAGAAAGCTTTTTTCTCTTTTTCTTCTTTTTGCGAGCATTTCTCTCCTCTTCCCTCGATTGTCTCTCACTTTTCTGTCCTTCATGTCTTAATTTACTACTAGATCGCTTGCATGATTTTTTAAGCTTGTGTTCACACTGCCTTGCCAATCCCTCACGGGCAGAATTAGAACAGAAGCTACATTTGCTGCATTCCTTCTCTTGACCTTCCAGGGCTACATTTTTAACATAAACCAGTAATTTTCTCTCCCCCTCTCCTGGGAGCAAGCACCCTTTATTACAATTGCTGTGAATTTCTTCACACTTTCTCTCTGTTCTCTTCATTGAGCCACTACGTGCCTCACCAAAGTACTCTGGGTCACTGATCTCTTCCAACAAATCCTTTAATTTGTAAGCAGATCTACACATTTTGTAGGGTACAGTAACTTCATCTCTACTGTCTTCTAGTTTGACTTCCTTACCATGACTAAGAGTAGTGCCATCCAAAAAATGATTCAGTCCAGCATGTGGTAAGTTATCAACAGTGAGTGAGTCATTCCTCTGTACTTGAAATTTTTTTGCAAGCCTACTTGCACAGGTCTTGTTTTTCAACACTGTGTCTGTGGATTCCAATTCCCCAACCGTGATCACCAGTCTATAATTATCATCTCTACTACAATTTCTCTTGTTGAGGTTTTGCACAAGACTCACTTCTCTGAAGTGCTGACCACGTTTGTTACTCAAGCTGATCTGAAAACCACTATCATCATCAGACACCACTCTCTTCCACCAGGACTTGCTCGCAGTGCTTTTTGGCTCTAAGCAAACACGTGCATAGCTTGGTGTCTGATAGTAGTTTAATAAATAATGGATAAATTCATCAGTCTCATAAACCTTTTGCTTTTTGCAGCCGTCTTCATCAGACAGTGTCTGCGTGTGAACTACATTCAATGTTGGGTAGTCCCTTCTATCGAGAGATTCGATGACCTTGCAGTCTTGCGTAACTGTAATCAGTAAAGATCCACAGCCAAAGGAGTTGTACGCATCTCTGCCCGTCAATCTGTCAGAACTCAGGGCTCTAGTGGGGTCATTTAAAATTGTCCTGACTATATGACAGGTGGACGCACACACGTTAGTCACATCCCCTTCCTCACTACATAAGGCGCTACCTTTTTGGGTTAAGTGACACGTAAACTCTTCCTTATGTTTCAACTCTTTGTGCGTATGGCAATGGGAGTTTATCTCTTCCTGATGTATGTCTTTTAATGCTGTTTCAGGAAAAGAATCGTCCTTCCTTAGGCCCAACGAAGGATCCACTTTTTGACTTGCCAACTGCGCAAAATCCTTTAAATAAAAATCAGGAAAATTATTATGTACATTTATTGAGAACAGAGAACTCTAAAGAGTTAAACTGCAAACTCATAAATATGCAGCTCTACAGTAGAAAAATTATACCGGTATAATTGAGGGACAAATTTGGCTTAGTTCAGAGCTCGATCATACAATCTCACTATTCCCAAGTCAGAACTAAAGACATCCTTCTCAACTAAGATAGCTGTCCTTCCCATCAATTCATCTATCTCACCGCAACTGCATAAAAAAGCGTTTACTCTTTATTTGATTATAGCATAACGTGTTGCACACAACAGTAAAATCACTGCACTTTTATAGATAGAAGATTTTATTAAGAATAATAAAAATTGTTTTATTATACATCGTTTTTAGTGGCTCCAAATACAACCAATCTAAAGCTTTCCAAATGATGAAACCACGGAAATACAAGTTTAATAAACACATCGCTTTCACAATTAAGAAGTCCAATGTCAGATGTTATGAGGCCCTACAATTCATGCAGAACGGCAAGGGTAGCCTCTGACTTCAACTCTTTGTGAATTACAGTCTTTCAAAAATTGTAAACATCAAGGATTGGGGAAAAACACCTGCTTGTTAAAAGCTGCTAGCAAGTTTTTCCCTGGCAAATAGTGAAAACAAAGCCATGTTAGCACCCTGAGCTTTCATTTAAAACAAAATTTTTTAGCCCAAAGGACTGAAATAAGCCTCCAGCCATGAATCTATGTGCAAAACACTCAAATTTTTATCACTCTTTTGCTGACTTTCTCAAAGCATTAGCTGAAAGAAACTGAGATAAAACTGACAGCGTACCGTTAGCCACCAAAGAGACTACTAGAAACCAAACCAGCGTAATTCGCGTCAAATTAATTCTGTTACTTGCAGACCTGAGACCAAACCAGCAGAGATACTGTCCTTCTGCATCCCCTCCCCAAAACTCTCCATCTGCAACACTGAATCAAGACTAATAGAGTTGATACAGTCCTTCCAGCCTTATTCCTACTCCATAACGACAAGCCCTTCGACATGCATCAAAGACTGAATTTTCTGGGCGATATCCCAGTACCTGTCCTCTCAGGGCAAATCGTCTCAAGACTTAGACTTCAGACCTTCTTAGTGTTCAATCAGCCCCAAGGCATGCTTTTTATTAGCATCAAGCCACCAAAACCTCATGAATTATTCAAGCTTTAATAAATATCCTTCAAACTTGAAAATATGTTTTAAAGCATTCTTACTTTCACTCGGTTTAACAGCACTGTAAGCAGTCTGACAGACTCCACTCTTCTCTGAGCTAGCAAGGATTTCCTTTCTTCCCGTTCGGGCATATTCTCTGGCCACTGCTCTTCTTCAGCTGGTACCTTCTGCTGCTTTGGGGGATGTTTTTCATTTCGATCTATCTGTCTCTCTTCTCTCCTCTGGAGCTTAGCTTTCTCTTTTCTCTCTTGAACCTTTTTTTCATCACCACGTCTTTTTCTAGGTAATTATCAATACGGGACAATTTAGATGATGCTTGTTTTACATTTTGAGTCTTGGGGGATCAGACGTAGGTCTTTGAAGTGCTAATAGTAAGCAACGAGTCACCAAGAATCCATATGCTGCTAACAAGAAATCTTGGGTTTTAGAATAACATGTTAGGAAAAAAAGAAAAAAGACAAAAAAGAAAAAAAAGAAAAAGGCACACAAGTGACACACACCCAACTGATGCATACATGTAGAAAGTTCTTTACTTTCTCTCTTCAAACTCTTCCTATTCTAGGGTTTTTATTACAAGCAATCTCAAGAGAGATTTGCTTGATTTGCTTGAGCAGGGAGGTTGGACTAGAGGATCTCCAGAGGTCCCTTCCAACCTAAACGATTCTGTGATTCACGTTATTATCTTTTCTCTAAGGACACCACAACTAGACCCTGATCATTTGGACCTAATTCTTAAGTTAAGAAATTTCCTCTATAGATTAGCATGAGAGTGCCATTTGAGAGACATTCAGGGTTATTTCCACTATCCTAAAAATTCCAGTTGAAGCTGTTGGAAGCCTTGTCCTGTAGGAAGCAGATCCACTACATGCCATGTCACAGAAAACTCCAGAACATTCAAGGCACACAAAGTGTTTACACACAGGTTTAAAAACACGTATTTTTGAAATATTTGAATATGAAGATATAAAAGAACAACAGAAAAATAGTAAAGCTTTCAGAGATCTAGCATTCAAGTTGCTATATGCAGCACTGTAAAATTTTTTTTTTTTTTTTAAAAAGAGTTGTAGGTGTGTAACTCAGTTAATGGCCGGTGACAGTTTAAACATACTGTCTATAGTAGTATATTGAGGTTTTAATTCTACTACCCCTACAAAAAATTTAAAAACACTGACCTGTGTTACAACACTAATGAAAAACACCACATAGAAAGGGATAGTGGAAAAGGTGGAAAAGCATTCATTTCTACCTTTGGACCTTCCAGTCAAGTGGGAGGTACATAAAAACGTGTATCACGTAAATTTTACTTCAGGGCATAATGACATTAATTTTTCACGTTACAGCACAGGGCAATATAAAAATCCCACTTCCAGAATCTTAAGCAATCAAGCCTCACAGCAGTTTGAGCGCAACAGCTCTCAGATTTCACTGCAGGCCCATAGAAAAATCCAGGCTGGAAGCGATCTCGGGATGTCTCCAGCCCAACCTCTTTCTCATAACTCTTCACCTGATGCCTTAATACTGAATTATCATGCCGCTTCTTTTCTTCCTACAAGAACACATGAATTAGGAACTGTATACAGTAATGCTTCAGGTCCTCTGACTTATGTCTCCTTAAAGCCTGGATTTTTACAGTAGACACTCCTGGATTTTACTGGCAATGAAATAGCGTAATAAATCTCAAGAAAATGAGACACTAAAAATACACTCTCACCTTTCACCCACCTCTCTTTCTTTTCCCCTTTTTTGTTCGTGCTCTTGTTCTTTCAGATTTAGTCTTTCCAGACTTCTCTCTTATGGCTCCTTCGCTAAAATGTCTGCTTCTATCAAAAGTCACCTGTCACAGAAGAAACAGAATCAAACTTACCAGTCCAGTTTGGCATGTACTTATACAAGCACAGACAACCCACACAAATGAGAGAGCCCTCAGATGACTAACACATACTGCTACACCCACAGGAATTTCCTGGTGCTGACTGGCGCCCCGGCACATTAAAACATGTCTTCTGAAGCTCACGCCAAGAGTTGCCAATCAAGCTCAAACACTCCACTCACAAATGTCACCTTCTGCTGTGACATCGGGGCTCGCAAGCTGACGCCATGCCTTTGGCTACAACCTGTTTCTGGCATGCTCTTCTGGGGACTCAAAGTTCAGTATTTTCAGAAGAGAGTTCCTGGACGGTGAATTTATGCAGTTCTTCTGCCAAAACTAGAGTTGACTTACTTTCAGAGCAACATCTCTTGGATCAAATATTTGCTTGCCTAATAAAACTGATTGATAAATGCAGCACACATCAACATAATCCATTTCAAATGCCCAGATGTAAGCACATTAAAAAAAAAAAAAAAAGCATTCAAGTAAATTGCATCTTGGTGCATCTACCCTGGAAAAATAAATAATGTGAAGCGTTATTTCCAGCATAGAGATATATTTCAGGGTCACAGTTTAGAAATTATCCACTGGACAAAATACTGGAACAGGGCACATCCTGATAAGTACTCGCTGAGATTAACGATTACACCACTGAAATGAATCTTGCAAATTACAAGGCTTTTTTTTTTTTTAAATAATGTCATACCAAGCATAGCGCTTAAGTATGTTGAGGGATGAATCCATTTAAGCAAACAGGGTGCTGAGAAGACAAAAGATACCCCTTATTAGCTGAGATCCAATCACCTAAAATGAGGTGATTAAAATGAGGTGTTACTGATACTTCATGTGGAACAATGAGAAACCAAGTAGCTTTCAAAGAGTCTCTCCAGCTCCGGAGCCTCTCTCTCAATTTCAGTGCCCATCAAACCAAAAATATTTACAGCTTTAACTTATCCACGCCAATTTTTCAGGAAATCAAAAAGTGAAATGCCATCTTCAGATTAGATCGAAAACTTCAAAGTTTGCAGAGAGGGATTAAAAAAAAAATACACAACCAAATATTAGTACACACAAACTGAAGTCTTTACATAAATAAATAGACCAAATTGGTGTTTCATAACCTGTAAGGCTGGGAAATGTGTGGTCCCTCACCATGACTGTGGCGCACAGACAGGCCACAGCTTTGTTTACTAAGCAGAGCACCGAAGGGCGGACAGTTTCTGAAGCAGCGCACCCACATCCTATCCTAAAGGACACTCTCCAACCATAAATTCCCAAAGCAAATATCCATTGCTTAGCTATCCTACCCTAGCTAGTGGATTGCCTGGTTTCGATAAACAAAATCTTTCATCACTCGGTGAAGCAGGTTTTGAACACGCAGGGCATTCACAGCATTCTCCAAGACTGATCGATTCAGAGACTTTTTGGCTAGAACTTACTCAGCTGTTACTAGCCAAAGACTGATACAGTTGTCATCGTGATACACTTGGAAAAAAGAAAGTCAGCAGCATCCAAAGATAACAGTTCTGATGCTTCCTACCTTTGTGTTACAAGTCCATTTTTGCATCATCCCCTTTAAATATCAGCTTTGTTCCCCTAAGTGAGTACATAGCTTTCACAAAAGCTGCATACTCTTGGCACTGTACAAAGGCCTTAAAAGTCTGTAGACCTCCACAAGTGAAATTATTTACACTTCCTCCCATTCTTTCTTCTCTGTAAGGCTTGAGCATAGGAATATCTATGTTCTTAATCTTTCCAAAGTTTTCAAATACCACCTTAAAGCATCTTCCCTTGGCTTTTCATTATTGGATCCCTTTAACGCAAACCATTTGCCCGGCAGCCCTTCAAAATGAAGGCAATCAGGAACACCACCACTTTGTTCAGTACTGTCTTTATCCATCACTTCTCTTTCACTCAAGAAAGATGCCCACTTTTGCTCAGGTTAAGGGTCAGCATGTGCTTCAGTAGCCATCACTTTCAGGCCATCTGTAAAACTATTTAGTTTTATCAGCTTTCCAGGCAGTTTTTCCTTTAGTGTGGGGATCAAACTGTTAGTTTCTGCCTCTCCCTCAAAGCGAATGAAATCCGGACAAACCATGTTCTTCAGCATGCCCGTCGCTCCCCTCCGAGAGATTCTGGACAACCTGGAAACACCACACTGACAGTCAGTTTGGCTACTGGCTCAAGGTACAGATGGTGAGAACCACAAAGCTCTGCAGTTTCAGAGTTACCACACAACACAGTGATTGCCATGGTCTCCAAAGCCCTTTAGGAAAACAATTAAAACTGTTTTAAGCTAAACGCTATGGAGTAGTAAGTGCAAAGGTTCACACCTGAAAACTGTTTAAAGTGTACTCAATTGCCTCATATCATAATGTCATTTGACATTAAAATTCAGCTGCCAAAAAATATATATATATACACCAAATGTAAACCTCTACTGCCTAAAGCTCTACTGTTCTTATACTGAAACTATGCTGTAAACTAAGCCTCTCTATTCAGTCTCTAGAAGAGCCATACAACATTTACAGAGGCAAAAGGTAACAAAACAAAAGAACTGCTTGGCTTGTGTTATCGCTTTATGTAATTTGTCACAGCCTAACATCTGTACGCTTCAGAAAGAATGTTTATCATCAGAATTGGTATAAAAAACCTTTTCCACTTTCAGGAAGGATTTTTTTTCAGTAATGTTTTCAAAAAAAGCTTGAAACCAATCTGTGGGCTCTTCTTCACCTTTCCCAGCTCTTTATCACTCAGTCTGGAGACTCTATTCCTAAAATTGTCTAGGGCCTTCCACCTGCTACACAATTGAAAGCTGGCCATCACTTAAGCTCCCAAAATCATGTTATTTAAACAAACTTTGAGCATTTGCTCGTATTAGTTTTTTAGTTCTCATATAAGCAAAGCAAATACTTAAATACTTTCTTGTTAAGATAGCCAGAAAAAGTACTTAAGAATCACTTCTATCCACTGTTCTTTGAGCTAAAGAGCCATCTAAAGCTATCTGTTACCATCACATCAAGATTTGAGGTGCAGCAGGTTAAAACCTCTGGGACACTACTGTTGAAATCCATGGAAAAAGACATGAAGGTCAGACCTGAAGAAGGGCTGGTGTGCCCAAAAGCTTGGTCTTTGCATCCGCATCTTCTATTAAACCAACAGGTATTACCCTGTCCTCACAAATCTTCCTTCACTTACATCCTTGCACCACCATAGCTACAACTGCATTTCTATTGCTGCAATAAATCATCTAAAAGCAAGCCTAAATTTCTCTTCACAGAACTGTCTGTACGTAAACAATAGTAGTTTGGCAGTGCAGCACCATTACCACTGCTCTTCCCCACTCTCCTCCACAGCCAGGAGCCTCTCCAGTATCAGAAATGTATTTCTCACCAGACGACTGTGTACAGAGCAACGGCATTACGCACCGGCTGACCCCCTGAGGCTTGCTGCTCCCCACCACGGCCATTTGGAATCAGCCTGGACCTATTTTATATTTTAACTGTGCCAACTGATAGACCACAAGGAGCCCGATGTTCTGCCCCATTACCAAACGATTATTTCCTTAAAGCCCTTCTGCCACGTTTATAACATTAGGCATACACCTGCCCTTGCACTACTGCTTACTAACTGTGATAACTGAAGGGTCAACCGTCCTTTGTTACCTGCATGTTTTTCTTCTGTGATCACATGTTCTGATAACCCTGCTATTTACTTCAAAGCAAGGTGTTATTTAAACGTAGAAGAAGAAACCAAGTGTAACATTAAAACAGTAAGTACGGGAAACATACGGGGTAGGCAAGCAAAAAAAACGCTCTTACATTCAAGATACTGACCTGGGACGCTACAGATCTGTGATCAGTTCCCAGCTCTGTTGAGGAAAGCCTATGAAGCCCAATCACTTTTTATGCTTCAGGGTCCTAAAACATCGTGTTATTTTAGAATAGATTCAGTATATATATTTTAGAATAGATTCACGTTGATTAGGATCAGAATAGACAACCAGCTCCTTCATGCTGCCCGTACTACATTCCACCTTGATTTTACCCCGGTTACATGGTACTGAACGTTTTCATTTGGCTAAAGCATCTCCTCCTAGAAGGCACCTGGTCTTGATTGGAAAACACCAGGATATGAAAGTCTGCCGTTTCCCATGGGCAGTTCGTTCCATTCCTTACATTCACCTCTAAAGAAAGTATGTTCCCTAGTTCCAGCTGGGAACGGAAGCCACTTCGTCACTGACTCTTCCTAAGCCTTCCTCTGTTAGGCTCACACCCTACTAACATCTGCGTTTTGTTATATGCTGTAATTCAGCACATAACCTCTCAACCGTCTTTTTATATAGAATACACAGCTTGAGCTCTTTAAGAGCTCTCTCATGGTCTCTCATTGTAAGGCGCCTTCTCCAGCCCTTGAGCAATTTTTGTTGCAACGCTCTTAACATTATCCAACTTTAAAACACATGAACCCTAAAACCACACACAGTATTAACTTGATCAATGCCATACACAGAGGAGAATTAACTCCTTTCAGTCTACTTTCTATTCCACTCCCATTTGAACAAACCCCCCAAAACACTGCAGCGGAAACTGAGGCTGTTGCTAGCGTACTACAGTAACCTTTTCATAGCCTCAGAGAAAAACACAAAGACAAACCTGTAATTTATTTGAATAGGAAATTGATTTTTCTAAGTATTTATACGGCCCTTTCCGTATCTAATCAATTACCTTACGACACCCTAACCTGTCACCTAAAATACTTTAAAACAAAATCGGACGCTAAGGAATCATTAACATCCTGACAATATTTAACATGCAGCACAATATTTAACACGAAGCCCACGCAGCTTATACGAGTAAAACACAATTAGCAGGAATAGCGCCATCCCAGAGGTGCCACTCCTATTTTCTCGCAGACCTGCTAACCTGAGCGGTACCCCTGCCCAGCGCCCCTCCGGCCGCCCGATCCCGGCCCCGG